CACATCTACCTAACCATCCTGAAAATTTAATTTAGATCGCATGGAATTCAAGTAAAAAATCAAAGAGTTGAAATCTGTCCCTTCTTTAGATAATTTTGCACAGCACTCATTCATTTTCGCTTAATTCAAGTGAATGAAACTGGAGACCAGCTAACTAAAATCCAAATCCATTCGAAATAAATTCCTTTTAGCTAATAAAGACCGGCGAATGTAATTAAAAAGCGCATTCGGAAAAACCGCAACGAGTTAACGGGCTCTTGTATCAGATAAGGCCGTTCCAAATTTAATGGGTTCATTAATAACCCTCCTCAGTTTTACGAGTATTCCTTATTTAATTCCGCAGGTGTGATACTGCTAGGCTCGACACATTTACATAATATCGCAACGTTTCGCTCGCTTCTTATTATTCGAGTGTAACGTAATGAATTGCGGTGTTTTGCAAAATGCAAATTACTTTTTAAGCTTTCGCCTTCCGTCGCGATTTTTCCCCTGGAAAATAATGGAATAGATAATATCTGCATAACTCAGTTATTCCATATTTTTCTTATCTTGATGATTTAATTCGCATCCCAATTTAATTAAAAAGGCGCCAGGGAATAAGCAAATTAAAAATTTGCGGTGCTGAATTATTGTTTTCCGTCACCTTTGAGTTTTTTACGTGTTTATCCGATTTTTGGTGTCGTTTGATTCAATCATTTTGTATGAGCGTAAATGATATATTTCTGATGAGCCTGTTAGCATTTATAAATTACCTGATGATTTCAAAGCAAACAAAATAGAAGCCCGTTACATGAGGCATGTTCGTGTTAATTATGCACATCTAGATAATGCATACAATTTGGTTCCGTTTTTGAACTGAAGCGGATACTTCAGTTTCAGCTGAAACACTGCCATTTACGTTTTTGTTTACATTTTGGTTGTACAAACATTAATTATATGCAACTTTATCAAATTAAACTAAATTACAACGTTTTGCTTTGCGGTATTTTCATGGGTTCGGTATGTTCGCTACTGAAGAACATTCCAGGAAACATTCGTTTGATTTTGTAAATGAAAACTGCATATCGTAAATGCCATATCCAGCCGGGTCGTATATCAGATTTGGAGGGTTTTAAACCCGATATTTTCCATACGTTTAAACTAGCCCAAAATCGGGTGCGCTGTATGCAATTTTAAATCTGGAACAGTTTAGTTCTTTTATATTACGGCCATTTCTCAAGCCTCCAGCCGACATATGGCCGCTTCAAGACACATGTTTCGAATGGCCGGAAAAAGTCGCATAATGCCCGGATTCTTTTGCCGTGGCTAATGGAAGCGTTAATTGGTCTCTGGATGGTCAGTTCGACGAGCCGATCTTTTGCGGAAAATGACCGGTTAGGTGCCGGAAAACCGTATGCAATTTATCCGGCAGACTATTACATTATAATGTTCAAGCGCCCGGCAATGTTTCATCTTAATAAAATTACCGCAGGATATTACAAAAGTTATCTGGGCAAATATAAATCAAGCTGTACAGGATCCAGACACCGAAGTATTCATTTCAGCCAGCATAAATCATGTACATAAAAACGGACGTAACTAGGTCTCTTAAACTTAAGCAGAATTATTACTCGGATATGTTGTCTCCGGAAGTATTTTTCAAACTATCCCCGTTCATTGTCGTCTGATTTATTTGCTTGTCGTGCATTCCGCAGGGCGTTAAAATCGCTGGGGATGCCTGTGCGGCCCAAACAACATCATTTCAACTTTACTAACATAAATGTATGCGGAAAAGGATCGACAAGTTCGCTACTTACTCGGTCAGGAATGTTGCACTTCAATTCTCTTTATTGAATCTTCAAAACCAGGCTGATCACATAGAGGGTATTAGTTTGCTTATTCGATACATCTGCATTTAATATATTACCGATCGGGCTGTCGGAATATTCCCAATGTACCTCTGCAAGAAAGTTTGTTCGAGGAAGCCTGCAAAATCTTGGTTGAGTATCCGGGATTCGATGCATCCGATACCGCGCAATTTAAGATATTAGGTTACACAACTTTACACACGCGAGGAATTTACGTGGAAGTGCTTGTAACAAGACAAAAATGAGTGAAGCGGCAAAATATTTGAGCATCGAAAAAGCAAAATACACTAGACAGTGCATTAGGGATAAAATAAAAAATCGGGAAATTTGAAGTTCTGATGATAGTAAAAATCCATTGGCGAAACGCCGTGGTTTGACGAAGTTGTTTTAGTTACTACAAGCGACATGAGTGCTAATTTAGATAAACAAAGGAGAATTTGACCATTGCAGATTGCGGACTGGATGCAAGTAAAAAATTGCAATTCTCCAACTGGACCAACAAATAGCTCGAAACTCTTGCACTTTATAAACAATTAATTGAGGTCCTTCTGGTAAAAGACACGGGTAAATGAACTCAGAAACGAAATTTTGAGGAGGTCCAAAACATAGGTATCTCTGAGAAACATGTGGAGCTTTTTCGGTCATTTATATCCTCTGATTAAAAATTTAAAACTTCTGGTAGAGAGCAACTGCCCCTTTGAAAATTGTACACTCAATAGAGCATAAACCTGTCCGCAAACAGACGAAGTTTCATGTAAAGTCCCCTAAATCTTGATTTTTGCGCACATTTTAAATGCAACACAACATGAGTGATTTTGGCCAGTTACGTGCTCTGACAATTTTTTTTCTAACTTCTAGTCGAGAGCAAGTGTCGTTTTGAAAATTGCACACTCTATAGATAATAGATATGCCCAAAAACGGCCTAAACTTCATTCAAGTCTCAGTTAATCCCGATTTTTGCGCACATTGCTAATGCGGGGTAAAAATGAGGCGTTTTTGATCAATTCGGTCTGGTATTTCAAAAATTCATAACTTTCAGCTCAGAGCACATAACGCATTGAAAATTTCGCACTGTATATGATAATAGCTGTGTCTAAAAACAGAATAATTATCCTTCACATGGTAAGTGATCCTGATTTTTGCACACATTGCAAATGCGGGGTAAACCAGTGTTTTCCATCAACTACATCAGATATTAAAAAAATTCGTAACTCCTAGCCAGAAGCAAGTATCTCTCTGAAAATTGCCCGCTTTATAAACAAAAATATGTCTAAAAACGGAAGAAAAATCATTTACATGGCACGCTATCCTAATTTTTACAAAAATTGCTAATACAGTTAAAAAACTAACGTTTACGCTCAATTCTATCAATCAATAATTAAAATCTGTTGACTAAAAAGTTCGAAAATCCTAGTCAAGAACCACTATTCTATTGAAAATTTCGTACTCTGTAAGAGATGTGTATAAAAATTCGCGGAATATCCACGTGAAGTTGCACTGAATCCTGGTTTTTGCGAATATTGCAAATGCAGGTCAAAAATGAGCATGGCAGAGCAACAAAATTGCATCTTCCACTTAAAAAACTAATAACTTCTAGTCCAAAATAAATACCGATTTGAAAATTGCACAGTCTATAGATAATAGATATATGCGAATACAGAGCAAGTTTCATTTATTACGTACTTAATTTTGATTTTTGCGCTCACTGCAAATACGGGGCAAAAATGAATGTTTTCGATCGATCATCGCGTCCTGTATTTGAAAAATGCGTAACTTCTAGTCAACAGTAACTGTCTTATTGAAAATTTCGAACTTTATGCGACATAGATGTGGCTAAAATCAGGAGAAATATCGTTTACGTAGCATGTAAACCTGATTTTTGTAAACGTTGCAAATGCAGACCAAAGAGACTGAGACCAAAAGGTCAGTTACATCCTCAACCAAATAATTTTCGAAATTGCACACTCTATCGATAACTAGTCAACGGCAATTGTTGCCTGTGAAAATTCTACAAAATCATTTAAAAGTACAGACAGTAATCGAACTGATGAAAAAAATAAATTTGACAAATAATCTTATGAAACAGCAAAACGAAAATCCATTAAAATTTCAAAGTCTCATTGAGTTAAAAAAGCAATAGAATATGTAAACGACGAATAAGAAATAATGAACCCATAAAAGAGAAAACTGCGGAAAATACGGTACTGTGATAATCAGCAGCTTGGATTAGTCAAAAAAAAATGAACAGTAAAACAACCGAAGGCTATAGAGAAGCAACATGAAAAACCAAGGACAATTCATAAAACAACAAACATACAAGAGAGAAATCTGTCTAGGAAAATATTAAATTAGATAAAACAGGGTAAATAGCTAAAACTGCAATGCAAATGACTGAAGAAACCTCTGATTTAGCTCGAGCCTTGTGATGTTTCTAGGCATGTACGTGTTCCATGCGAGTTTTCCACTTTTGCCTACTTAAATCTGATAATGCAGCATTTTTTTACCAAAAAAATTCACTTCTAGAAAAGGCGACTTAAGTTCTAAACTATATTCAAGGTGAATTTGCTTCGCAGCAAATATTCAGATGGTTATGATTAATTCTACACACACAGCAAAACTACTAATTAAACATGACAATAGAGACATTTTAAAAATTGGCTTCATTAATTAGTACAATCTAAACTCTTTGGTATGAGCTTCATGCTTTGAAAAAGTTATTACAAATGAAATTGTTAACGTAAATTACTCTCGTCCAGTTAATTCTTGCTTTTCCAGCAGAGTTAATTCAATTTTTTTTTCGCTGGCAAGAATACAGGAAAACTATGTCCACATCATGGTTGCTAATACTCGTAAATAACATTTATCTCACGAAACAGGCAGCAAAATTTATATTTGTCAACACTGTAATGAAAATATGAGATAATTCTGCTTGCAATGATCATTAAAGCTTGGACAGAGATGTTGGAAAGTTGTTTATGAATAAAGATAAAAAATCTAATTAAATTGTTCAGGTAAACTCGCACACATAACTCTGATGTACCATGTACATTTGACGCTTTATTAGAACGGGGATTATTTCTAGTTGGGAACGAGATAAAACATGATTTGGCATGATAAACTAAGCTCTAAGCTGAGGCATTAGTTTGAACTTCCCCAGTTAATGTGTAGATGAAACGAGGCATTCAAATATAGTTCGAGCCCAGATTTTCGCACTGAATTAAAGATATTTCGCATAAAGCAACTCGTCAGCACTCTCCTAAAAAAATTGAATCATTGTCCGTCTATTACCCTGGTGCCATTATGCTATTAATCCAATAGTAAAGTAATTTTCAAATTGTGCGCTGTATAGTCGTCCATTTAGACAATATAAAGGCAAGTTTAGGTCCCGGAACATAAATAAATATTGATCTGCTTCATTAGATAAATTTTCTCACTATAATTATGATCTATTTGCAATTCGTATTAGAATCGTAGTATCAAAGTATAAACTCGAACAGAGAATGCGACACTCAGTTGATGTGAACGGTGTGCCCACAATGGATTGTAAAACGGAAGATCACCACGAAAAAATCCTGCAGGATGGCATCCAGAAAATTGTCATCGTGCGACAGGAAAGTCTGGTCAGAAATGGAAATGTGCTGAGTTTAGTGGATATTTTGTTAGCGATTTTCGTTGTCACTCCTCTAGTGGTCTTCGCATGGAGAGGCTCCTGGGGATTAATGGATATTTATGTCGATTATTTTCCATTATTAGGCTGCTTCTTAGTGGGTGAGTACACATTATGAGTTTTTAATAAAAAACCAGATGCGAGGACCAGAAGTGCATAGCCGTGTGGTCTAAATAGAAATTAATAAACATAATTGGAATACAAAAAGCTTTTGTTGCAAAATTTAATAAAAAAATCTGACATAATTAAATTGATTGAAAAATTATACAGACTATTCATGTAAATAATTAGCTAGGCAAATTTATTCTTTAGGTAATCAATTCTTGAAACGTTTACACTCTTCAAAACTCCGCTGTTTTTCGATTGTTTATAATATTTTTTCCAACGATTCAATAGTCGCATTAAGATTCTGATGTATTTGTTGGGCCGATTTGAAAGCCTTAACCATGTCATAATACAATAAAAATGCAGCAAAAAAATATAAATGACAAATTTGCAGTTCAGCGGACTTTTCCTGCTCTTGAATAATTTTTCCCTCATAAAATCCTTAAAAAAATCTTCGTTGTTGTGATGGCTCGAAATGTTGAGAAAATAAAAATCAGTTGAAACAGTTCGTTTTCAGCTGAACTTTGGCGAGTTGGAAATAAATCTGCTGCAATAACTAGTTGAGCGAATCGTATTAGCTAACAGCTTTCCTGCTAATCCTTTAAGCAGTTGATCTTTTAATTACATATGAAACACCGCTTTTGTTTTATTTTCCCCCGATCGATTTAAGAGCCGTTTAGCTTTGAAATTGAGAAGGTTTTCTATCGCTCAGTTTTCAAATCGCGCAAATCTCTGTTGTTTGGGAATTATTCACCGAAACAATGCGTTTGGAACGATGAAAATTTTCGTAAACGTCGATCAGTCAACCTGAGTGTTTAATTTAGTTTATCTTAAAGCAATTATTGACTTATACTGGCATAGTGTTGATAATGTTGAAATCAGAGCAAGGAAAATTTATTGAATAAATGCTTTTAATCTAATCAAACCAAGCGAAACCCAATTAGATAACATATGGAAGTAAAAATGCATATTTTATTAAAAAAATCTTTCACCTGGAAATAGATCGGATTATTTCAGCACAATAGGCCTAAATCTAGTGCCGGCTTGAATAATCCTAGGAAGCAGACGCGATGCATTTCAAATCAATCAATCATCCGTTAATCCAAATTATCCTGATATTGGGAACACGTATTCTCTAATCACATGTTTGTCTCGATGTCGATAGTCAATTATCACAGTTTAGCACAGGAATTTTCCAATCATCTTCTATTATTTGACTGATCAAATTTACTTTTTACTTAATTCTGGATAAGTGCATCAAGTCGAGAGCTTAGAACTGTTCTAAACACGCTAAATTGACAAATTGATCATTTGCCCTAATTAAAATTTGTAAAAAGGCTAAATGGATGAGGCTGAAAGTTTGACGAAAAAGATTGCCGCAATTTCGATCCGAGTTGGGAAGAGTCTTTTTTGCTGGAAACGTTCCCCAACAAAGTTTCTTGTGCGAAAAACTGCTGATTTGTTCAAAAAAAGCTTTAAAATATGATCAGGAAATTTCTACGCAAAGTCCAAAGCGAAATACTCCTGCATGGAACTTCCAAATGCATTAAATCAGAAATAAAATCTCATAAAATGATTAAGGCTGATTAAAAGTCGTTCTAAGAAGCTTTTATGTCTGGAATAAGTAGCGCATAATGGCCCTCAAAACGGCGAAATAGAACATTCTTAGAGATTAAGCTCAAGCGAATATTACAGGAATTTAACTGAAGCGCTTTGCCTGAACTGAAAGCGCTGACTTGGCGGATCTTTCACCAGTTTTATTTAACAATAGCGACCATTTGCTGGTTTTAGGTATGGGGATCCATATATTTCTGGCCACATGCCAGAACAGTTTACATCGGGCAATTGTTGAATCCGATAAGCATTGGACGTTGAAAATAGTGTCACAATTCTTACGAAGATGCTATACTTACCTGTTTTTGACTGCCACTGTTTTACATTGGAGAGGTAAGTCTGGATAGTTGATTTCAATCTGATGATGATTTGCTGATAATTCAGGTGGCTGGGGGCTGCTGGACTATCTGACGCAAGTCCAATTTTCCGAAGAGTTTGTCGCTCAACCCAAAGGAAGCCACTGGTTTCTAATCACTTGGGTTTTATGTGTGGTGATGTTGGTCATCCTTAAGGGGCTGAGAAACTCCATTGCGCCCCCTTTTGCCATTTGCATCGATAAAAGCGACTACGTTTTCAAGTTTCCCACCATGTTCAGTGGAAAAGTATGTAGAAGATGGTTTGATGTTGCCTGTAGAACTTTTGAGTTTCATACATATTTTCGTTGATCTGAAAGTGGCGTGTCGAAGGCAAATTTTCAACCACCCATCATATAAACATACGTTTCACTATTTCAGAGCCAGAACAATATTTTCCTCTGCTGTCTGGACGCGAGTTTTTCCGTAGCTTTCCTAGGCAACTTGGTGGTGGTTTTCTGGAGAGGATTGTGGATCCTCACAGATTTCCTGCTTTTTCCTAATAACGTGGTCTGGGCGGCCTGGGCCAGTTTGGTAATTATTTAACAGCCGTTAAACCCTAGGTTGTATTAACGTTTTTCCAGGTTCTAGGTCTGGTTTTGGTTGGGCTGGAATTCCGGCTGCAAGCGCGCGTGAAAATCTTATGTACAACCTATTCTGGAGCCAGGAAAATTGCTGTAGCTGACGCCTACATTACACTGTCCTGTGTAGCTACAATCCTCTACTGGAGAGGCGTTTGGTCGCTGACAAACATCTACTTTCTTCCGCGTAAGCTTTGATTGGTGCAATGCATCTCCACTGGTTGGAAATGTTATTGTTTCCAGATGATCCGGTCCTCAGCTGCAAAATCACCCACCTGGTAGGCTTCATGTTCCTGGTAATACTTAACTGTTCAAACTCAACGCTGGTCCGGGGAGTTTACACGGATGGCCAAGAATCCAACGGGGAATGCGTGGTGTTTCCTTGCCAGTACCTAAGAATACTTCTGGAGCAGGAAAATGAGAGCGAAAGCGACGAAGGCTCGAACAGTAGTGCGGAAAAAATGATAAACAATCTAGACAATGTTACTGTGTAATTTTCGTTTGGAGATAAAGACTTTGCAAACACCACCTGCTTCCTAAGTGTCCATTTTCAGAGGAGCCACTTTCTTGCTGTCTTCTGGAAGAGAAAATAAAATTCCTCCCATTTCGCGGATGATTAACGGGATCAATCCCAGTACTCACCTTTGTTGGGCGGCCGGAAAACCAGGCCACACATCCGGCTAAATGGATACTCGAAGCATAGAGTGGCAGGGATTGAAAACATCAGCATCACTGCCATGTCGCCAATCGATTCAAACGTCTGTGGAAGTTGGAAATTTTTGCAATTTCATCTAGTGTCTACATCAAACTTACCGAGAGGAAATGGGAAAAGTAAGAGGGTCCCTTTTTGGAATACTGCATCGCTGACTGGAAGAGGAAGTGGAATAGGTAGACGTTGTAGCACAATCTTCCCATTATCTTGAATAAGTTGCAGGACAGGAAAATGTTTACAGGACCTGGAACATTTTGAACAAAATATGTTTTTCGATCCAGGAACTTTCATTGATATATATATATATATTCTAAAATTAAGTCCTATTTCTAACACTGGTATAATTCAATCAGTGATAAAAAAAAACAAAAAAAATTTCCTGCCCACAAAACAAACAGGTCTTAGTCGTTAGTTCAGTTGCGTTTGTAGGTGTTCTAGTAAAGTATCTGATGGGGTACGAAAACGGGAATGCTTTGTCCGTCTTGTTAGGCAAAGGGGATTCAGTATGGTCCAGTTGTGAGGGTTGTTTGTCCATTTTGTCTGTAAGTGTATTAGTCTTTCCGAAATTTTGGTCATGTTGTTTGCGTTCGTATATTAGTTGGTTGGAAGGGTTGTGCAGGGGGTTTTGGGGGTGTCTTATTCGTGTTATTAGTCTTAGTGCAATTTGTTCAGTTGTTTGTACGTATCGTTTTGTCCTTTCTGTTCCGTTGGCCATGAGTATATGTCCGTAGTCCAAGAGGGGTCTGCAGATCGCTTTGTATATTTTTGTCGCGGTATTGGTACTAATTCCTTTGTCTTTGTATGTTAGTGATCGAAAGTGTTTTGTTTCGGGTGTGTTTAGTGAATTTGAGTTTGTGGTCGATTGTTATCCCAAGGTACCTTACGTCGTTTTTCGGTTGTGTCGTTTGGGCGTCTGTAGTTATTGTAGGGGAGTCAGCGTTGAGTCTGTGGTTCGTGAGCAGAAGTTGTTTTTTTGTCGCGTTTGGCGTTAGTCTCCATTTATAAAACCATGT